ACACACAATACCATCTTAATCGTCTTACCAAACTTCAGTATTATTTCTCCTTGGTCTCCTTTTACAGCTTCCTAGTATTTTTGACTGCTCTCTTTATTACCTTATCTTTCACCTCAGCACATTTCCGCTTGATATGCTGATATGAGGTGTAGCAAATTAGACTGCTACGCAGTAATACCAGGTCCTATGTTGATATTGTCTGTCTAGCATGTCAGAAACGTCTGTTGAATGGTAGTTCGATTATTAACAGTTACTGTCGCAATTTTAATAACTTATGTTGCGGGGTTTGAGGGCGAAGTCGTACTGCTGCCTGAACCAGAATGTGACAACAGTAAGCTGTTTCATGCAGATAACCAGCAGTATCTCGCTGAAGCTACCTTCTTTATTGAAAGGAATAAGAAAAGGTAGATCATAAAAGTAAAACACTCCCCCCTGTCCTACGATCTTTCAGTGCCAGTGATATGGGTTTTCTAGTTCAGCTGTGGTACAACGAAATGTCATCCAAAATTCATTTTAAAAAAGCCATGTGTGGTCACCCTCAGGCAGATGTCGCCTGAGTACTGCGATAACATAGTACTATTAATCATTCTTTTTCAGGTGCATTAGAGGGACTACTTCACGGTGTGGGCAGCCGTGAAGTATCAGCCACCCACGCGCTTCTGGTAGCCTACAAAACCTACCTCACCTTCTTCCCCTCCCTCCCACTCACTTCCTAATACCAAGACTACGCCATTCACAGTATATTCAACTTTTTACCCTGCGACCATCGCTAGCAATCCAAACTAACAAAACACTATTCCTAGTCTCTTTGAAACTCGCTGCCAGTTTAAAATAACAGCTTCCCACCCCCGATCCGCATGCTACATCGGACAACAGATATCACTTTCTAAAACTGAAATCCCGAGCCATTGATCTATGCTGTGTTTCTGAGACGCGCATACACGACTTAAATGCTGTTGTTCACTTAACCACACGTGACCAATCCAGTGAACCTACAACATCCGCTTTACGTGTTCAAAAATTTTATGACTAACTCCTATGAATTCACTGTTGTTGAATAGAGCACACTCCTTTAGTCAAAAATCATCCGAAATCTGTCCAAATGAATGGATCTGTGATAAATGGAGATCGTGACACTAGCCGATATCTATAAATAGCCTCCCCTAACACGCTCACCTTCGGATGAAACAAAAGATTAATTCTACAATGGAGAATATTTGTAGTTCAGGTGGATGGTCTTGGTTGTATTGTGTTCTCCGAGCTGGGTTGCTTAATCCTGAAGCTTTCATAGTCTTTCTGGACGACATCATCAGCACTAACTTTAGTATGAAGTTAGCTGTCAACATCTCTCCGTGAGTGATTTAGTGGCTTGCTCTGACGATGTGGTCTGTGATTGGTTTTTTCCTTCGATTGTTGTGTCAATGATTGTTTAGACTTTCCTGTTGGCTGTTCCTGCTTCACCTCTGACCCTTCTGCAATCTCTTTGTCCACCATTAGTTCACTTTTGGCCTACGCTAAGTGTGATCATTTCCCTGTATGGCTTATTTTAGTACTGACCAAAAATCAGTGATTGTCAGGAAAAAGTTCTAAGAGATCACTGTTGTTCATTGTTTGGTGTGACGAAATGTCGTAGCGTTTAATAGCCATAGCCGTTAAGTAGCTACTAAACGCTACGACATTTCGTCACACCAAACAATGAACAACAGTGATCTCTTAGAACTTTTTCCTGACAATCACTGATTTTTGGTCGGTACAAAATAAGCCATATAGGGAAATGATCACACTTAGCGTAGGCCAAAAGTGAACTAATGGTGGACAAAGAGATTGTATCACAATAAATCACTTCCAGAGAGCATCGATGGTGGATTACATCTCAGTCTGAAGTATTTGTTTGGAACCTAATCAAATGCTAGTATGACTACCTGTATATCTGCACCTTAATGGGAGCAGGAAACTTTAGAAGGCCTGACTGAGAACATAGCACGAACTTAGGGAGGAGATAGCGAAGCATTTATCTGAACACGACAATCCTCCTCCTAATTAAGCCTGATGTAATATTCAGTCTACTGAAGAAAGGATGGTAAATATAGTTGGTAAACTACATCCAAAGATTAGTAAAAATCTGTAGATCTGTGATTGATACGAGAAGACTTATTCCAGCTGACTTTGATAATGATAATGAGAAAGCAACAAACGCAAATTGATTATTAGTCTTAGCAATGACCACGAGCAGCAGTGAATAGAAAAACAAAAAAACACTAACACTAGGTAATAACCGATCGTTATTACCGCTTATTTAGGAAACTAGTAAAAATAAAACGATAGTTAATGAGACCATTACCCCAAAAAAATGAGTACCTGATAACCTCTGTGAACAGGCAGCAAGAGTTGGGCAGAACACTTTCAAAAACAGTTCAATTTGCCTGCAGCCACCCTTTAGTTGCCTTGCCTTCAATTTAAACCTTAATGAGAAATAAATGCCGGTGCTCTAACTCTCCTTGAAGTTGAGAAGGCTATTTTCAACCTGAAACGATGTAAAGCAGCAGAACCTAACGGTTTGTCACCAGGAGGTAGGAAATTACTAAGAAGAGTAACGGATCATTCCAGTGTTATCACAACGAGAGGAGTAAAATCAAGTGTGCAGATAATTGAATGAACAAGGACATGGAAGAAGAAAGAGCAACTAATTTGTATCAGTTCTTACCACCTTTCACCTACATTTTTGATGTTCCTGAGACTTGCATCTTCACTTAACTCTTATTAGTAAGCTATGCATCGAGTAAAGGGTATCAGAATAAATCAATCCATGTAAAACTATATGACGTGTTAATATAGGTCAATCATTCAATAATTAAGTATCAGAATGACACGTGGCAATGCTGCGGTTCGAGTTGCAATACCTCACATCAGTACATTAAGGTACGAAGCAGAAAGATGAAAGTTAGAGAGAAAAGGAAGTAATTATAAACGATAAAACTGTAGAAAATACAAAGAGAAGGAATGAAACGATAGCGAAATTCGGTTATGATGAAGATAATACGTGAATAAACCTATCAGTGAGATCAATTCTGAACCGTATCACCTAGTCTCTAACCACTAGTTTTGGTTATCTCGTGGACTCAGCCGGGAAGTATACATTTCCCTATATGGCTCAGAATAAGAGATCCTATGGACTGACGTGGTGTTTAAGTTTGGCCGGCTCTAACCTCTCCCTATCTAAGATCGCTCCAGTTAACACTGAGCCACTGGGAAAGGATGACTGTATGTGTAACATGGGTCCCAGCCATCTGAGTTCATGAAGGTTCACAGCCCCACCAGCTGCACATAACCTCTACACTTCTAATATGGTGGTACCACGATATACAATGAAGCTACGAATGTGACGGTGATCAAACACGTGGATCTTCCTCATATCCGCCTTTAACAGCTATTCTACAGCTAGAGTGAAAAAGAGCGAACTGCAGCGTTGTACTCTCAGGTCTTAAGGCGGTTGAACACCACACTCTTATCACAGTAGACTCAAGTTGTCGAAAGCCAAGTCAGTTTTTTGTATCCGTAAGAAGACTTAGTAGGTCACTGAGCCACTAGGGCTGATCCGAATTTCCCAGTAAGTGAAGTGGTGAATGCACTCAACCGCTTTACTCCTGTTTATCGCACGAGGAGACAATGCAGACCAGTTATGAAACAGTAATTTAAGTTCAGTGGTGAGAAACCCCTCCTAAGCATTTCCACACTGCCACTGAAGAAAGTTGATGCTATTACAAGAAACAAGTGAGTGGATGTGGGACGAAAATTCATGAAAAACACTACTCGACAAAATTCCTTCAGATTACAGCTTACCACAGCTTTTTACACAGCCCGCATTATCAAGGATTAAAGCCTTGAAAGATAAACTTTTCCTATACAAACCTCTCGGTGACATTGCCACAACCTCCTAACCGACAGAAAAGCAAGCAGTCCACTGGAGAAAGGATGGTAAATGTAGTTGGTAAACTACATCCAAAGATTAGTAAAAATCTGTAGATCTATCTAAACTAATTGATACGAGAAAACTTATTCCAGCTTTGATAATGGTAATGAGAAAGCAATATAGGCAAATCGCACATACAATCCGAATTGTTTGAGAAGACTACCGATACGTTTCTAAGGCGAGAACTTTTGGTTATGATTAGGAGATCCCAAATTTCCCTAAATTCCCATGGGTTTTAGAATCATAAAACCTCTAGAAAAATATTTTTGTAACTGACAAACGAAAACTTATATAATCACTTTCATAATTCTGGTGTCAACAGTCAGCTACACACGGTAATAATACTACGAAGCCAATGGCTTAATTTGCAACAACACTATTTCAAAGACAAGCTATGGCGATTAGCACTACAGCACTTCATATGACTCGAATCATTTGCAAATGGAAGTGGAAATCTGTTCAATCAGTTGAGGCTACCTAAGTGAAATACTGACCAGGTGAAAGTACTACAGTAGCTAAAATCATGAAACCTGAAATAGTTAGATACCTAACACCAAGTTTTCCAGTATATGATGAAGCATAATGCCAGGTAGAGTAAGACAAAAAGGAACCCAGAACGTCTACATAAAACACGACGCTAAACCATGCTACCTTGAGACTGTTGTCAAAGGAGATTGAAAGAAATCTGAGCGGAAACTGAAATCAATCATTTGAATTTGAAAGATGCGACCTAATTGCTGTGATACACATGCATTCACGATTTTTCGCTGTCTTACAGAATGCACTTAACACACTTCCTACTTACCCCACTACTTGGATGCCTAGTGTTATTTTCCCGATTGTAGGTTGGTGCATCAAGAGGGACCGAAAAGTATCCTAAGTTCTGTGTTGTCGCCTATGCCATCAAATTCTGACTCCCCAGAATACGCCAGGTCAACACAGTGATAACGATGCTGAACGACTTCGGTTGGTGGATCAACTCAATGTTAACACATATAAGCGAGAGAGTCAGTAGGCAAAACATTCTTACCATGTAGTGGCGCAGACACGATGAACAGTAGCAGAGAAGGAACAGGCAATGATAATACATGTTACCACTTGAAAAAATGTAGTGTTTCAACAGGCATTACCTTCTGGAAAAACCCCCGAGTAAAATTCATCACCAAAAACTGTCCGTTCAAAATTGTTCACAAACTACGAAATAAGACCAGTAATTACGTTATGAAAGAATACCGTAATCAGTAGGACGAAACCTAAGCTGCCAAAAAACCCACCGATGATTGTCATGAGTTTTGAAGAGCATAGCGTTTCAGTGAACAAACGCATTGCCGCAAACAAAACAATTAATAACAGCAAAGACATAAACGACGATGTCCCAGACTTCAACACCATTTCCCGCGCTACTCACACTTAATTTGTGGCAAGCGCTTATTTAACTAGCATCCAATATCAGTTCGTCGAGCTTGCATAAGCTAATTGAGTCCTTCAGGCTCACTTCTAGGTTCTGTGGAGTGATTCCAGGCATTTGAAGAGTTCCAATGCAATAGATTCAACCAATCACTCCCAACAGCCCAAGTAATCACGATGGGTGGTTGGTTGTTGATTAACTTTGTATGTAGGTGTATGTTTTGTCTTAGAAGTGTGACGCAGGTGGATTCCTCAAATTTTGCGTCACCAGAAAAGGGTTCAGACTGGAAGTAAAAATAAGATGGGTACACGAATAGAGTGAAACTGTAGAAAGTAAGAGGGAGGGGAAGAAGCAAGTCTGAAGGGATGATGGAAATAGATATAGTGGTTTTGGCAATGGTATGGTAACTATAAAGCTCAGAGGACCAACAAAACGGCACGGCATCGAGTTTAGTTTGATTCTTAGTCCCTCAGAAATGTTATTTCAATCCCAGCCAGAGCTTCGTACAGTTACAAGCGGTTGCCGAAAGAAAAGAAAAAGCCCTCGAGAAACCAGGCCTGGTTTCAATAAAAAAATAGACAACTAATTCAGGCTGCGGCGACAAATGACACCCTAAAGTCAGTGAACCAGGTCAGGATGAAACTCAGCATCGATGGTGATCTTTGTATTTTCAACGAATTGACCAGGCTGATGGTACACGGTCAGGCACCAACCCTACTTAGGACATTGTCGTGCTACGCAGCGCTGCTCGTGTGCGCTCACATAGTCAATCGGATAAGGGACATAAGGATCTTGATAGAGTTCATTAAGTATACTATTCCTACCCGACTACCCAAGTATGCTCCTGTTCAGTCCCGCCTTATGTATCCCACAAGAAGGAAGAATTGGGGATTGGCCTCTACGTGCATAGTGTTCACGTAATTTTGAATAATAATTCACTTTATTCCAAACAATTTGTGACAATTCCTAAAAATTGTTCGTAAACCAGTGTGCACCAAAGGGGATGAAAGAATGGCTGATATGCCAACTGGCTAACCTTGGCTAAAACTTCATCCGTGCTTTGAGTTTGTGTTTTGGCGAGTCTTACAAAATGCCGTTAAACATTTCCGCTGGAAAGTAACGCAAAACTTGACTACTTTCGGGGATTAAAATCTATGGCAGGTGTCCATCATGACGTTACAAACAGCCTGCACCAATTTAAAAAGAATCAGAGACAACTGCGAAGCCAGACTCTGAGTTAGACCTTATGGAATTACAGGCGACCCAGTGACCTAGTAACCAAACTACTGGGAACTTCGTCAATTTACGAAGATATCTGTATGTCTCAGGCTATTATTTTTGGTAAAAAAATGATGCCATCACAAATAAATAAACAAATGCTTTGTTCTCACATCATGAATTTAACACAGGAGGGATAGCCAGATTGATAACAGTCGAGAAACCTACAACATATCGGCGGTCCTGAAGGGTACATAAGGGGGATGTTAAACTCTAGCATAATATTAGAAGTGTCTGCAAGTTATGAAACGAACAAGAGGATATTACCTTTCAGTGCACACGTAGCTACAATGGGTTTGGACCACTTTCAATCATACATGGCATAAAGGCCGAGGAATGTCCGATGTTTGTGTCACACCAGGCCAGCATGTCTGATCCATCTACACAGGTCGATTTTCCGTCAGATAAACGCCCATTTCAACATCAGTTCATGTTTATGGCTTCAGTGACCAACAAGAAGTCACTTCACACGCAGCATCTGAGAACCATATGAGAGCTTCTGGTATCCTCAAATGTATCAAAGTTCATTCGAACTTTCAATGCTCTTACATATAAGTGACAGCAAACCAATTCCGATTAAACACAGTCCGTAGGTGCAATCAAATACATTTCGCAAGACCCCTTGCACAGCTTCCATTCCCACGTCGGTCAGTAGTAACATTCCATTTGTCAAACATGTTGGACAAAATAGCGATAAATAAATATCTCACACCAAACCCATGCTCATGTGGATAACGGACACGTTTATCTCATTCAGCAGCACTGCAGCACATGAACGAAGGACCTCTAGGCCGGAACTTCTTCCAGCGAATAGATCAATAGTCCCAGAAAAGAGGCAAAACATAATCTACCTTTAAAAATCCGTGCAGCATTTCGAGATATTTGAAATGAACCGGTAATCTGATCTGAGATTCTTCCATGAAGTTAGAGCAACCCTAATGTTATCCAAATCCGTATTTGCATGACTTTCCGGCAAGACAACCTAGATCAGCAGCCAAAACTCCTACTGTTTCAACTGGATACATGTACTTGACGGCGATGAATATTTGCAAGTCTCGATCAGCCGAAAGCCTGACTACACCAGCATCAGTTATCTAAATGAAGTCCATTACGGGTAACTTCTGTCTTGGTGAGCCGGCGCAGTGCTACCAAGTAGAGAACTCTTCGATACTGCATACTGCACACAAAGGTGAACGGAGAGTACTGTTGCCCCTTACTTTCTCATAAGGCCCCATTATAAAAAGCCCCCGATCACTCAAACTGCTCGGAAATCAAGCCTGGACCGTCTCTTTTGAATCCTGTCGGCATCTCTTCGGTGACAGAACCCCAGGGTTTCAAAATGTAGTAACCTAGCACACTTACGACACTTAGGATGTGGTAGTGGAACGTATCCACTATTTTGAACATAACTTTGTTGCGTACGAATCCTAAATATGTGATAATTGCCCATGATGCCCGGTCACTTCCGAGCCGCTTTATTCTACCACTGTCAGAATAACTGCCCCAGCGGCGTGGAACCACGATAAAGTTTTGTCGCGAGCTGACGCAAGAATGAGGATCTGGAGGAGCGGATAAGCCCCAGTGGCTGAGTTTCAACGTGCCCTCCACCACGTCTCATAGTGGTGGGTCCAACTATTAGTTGGGTAGTGACCGCTCACCACTAAGGAGTCCCACATAATAATAATAATAATAATAATAACAATAATAATATGTTTCATACAACAAAGGTTACATGAATACAAACCAGTTTACAGGTTTGATCACTTTGGTAATGAGAGATGACTGTTATGCACAGTGTTATGCTTTACATTAGGTGCTGTGACTCATGGCACATAGGAGGTGTGTTGAAGCAGGCTCAGTTCGAATTTGAAGATTATCCGGTCATCGTTTGAATCATCCAATATTCTTGAAGATGAGGCCGCATCACAGTCATGACCTTGAGGTGTGCGCGTTCATCATAAGGTTTTGACGGCAAGGTGCACACTGACAAATGCGATCTCTAGGATTCCATTTGAATGCAGGACTGGTTAGGTAAATCTGAAAAGTGAACAACAAAAGCGAGCAGCAGGCGAAATTTGTAACAGGGGCACAAAAATACGCAGGAGTAGACCAACCATGATACATCTGGGTGAGTTTGTACTGACCGTTAAACTTACTTGAGGAAGTGTCCAGAACTAACTGTTTAGAGGTAAGCTTAGGTGGAAGAAGATGAAGGTGCGCACGACAGTAATGAAAATCAGTCTGAAGCTGAAGATATCACTACGAAATAGAAAGATTAGAGGATATTTGACCAGGTATTAACTTGTTATATACCTATGTACAAGCGTATAATGAAGTTATAAACATTTGGGTGAAATTCGTGTTTTTTTGTTCTTAGGACCACCACCCTTTATCTGGTCACGAGGGGGATGATCATGGTGTTGCCTGTTGAGTATTACCATATCGGGGCTACCGAAACTATGTCAGTGCAGAGTACTTAGATGTAAGTACTGATGACAAAGGGCAAATAATAAAAAGTTGCATGCTATGAAAATGCACCGACAGACAGTTCTTTTATCTTTTCGGAGTAGAGCGATTACTTTAAGGGACGGTTTTTAGGAAGTAGGTGCCAAGTCGTGAGATCAGTTAGGTTATGAAGAAAAGTAGGTTACATTTGAGTATCTAATGAGTTCACCGTAGCATATCGTGTCGCACTACGCTTCCTGTTCACTCTTGGTCATTTTTTTCAAAGAAATTAGATTTTAACTTAACATGAGTATGAAACAGGTTCCAGCCCTCCCAGACGTCAATGGTTTTCAGATTAATAGAAGCTTGTTGTCCCCTACACCCTTTTAATTGAGTTAACTATAAAATGCCAGTTTAGTCAGTCAAGTTTAAAGAAATGGGGGGCCAACAACATTTGTCTAAACCCCACTCTTACGACCAGCCTAAAGAGGATATATGATGGCTTTTTAAGTGCCAAGGTAAGGAACTTCATGTGCATCTGAAAAGTATGACTTATTAGTTGACTTCTCACTCTTTCTGGATTGCGTGAGAAAACGTTTCCACTAGCAGTTGTATTCATTTTTAATCCTGTTGTTGTTTTCATACTTATGACTATTTCAAAACTGATAATATAAATTTCCGGTTGAGTGTGAGGGAAAACTGGCTAATCTGCCCCCGTCAATCTGGCAAGAAAACACCAAAAGAGCTTAGATGATTTGCGTGCGAGGCATGAAAGACCTAAGTCATTACCAATCAGCTGTCATGGAACGCCTACCATGGAGAAGTGTACGCTAGTGAATACGTGGCCAGTTAAGCTTTAAGGAACAAGTGCGATATACAGAACCACTGAATCGGGAAAAACGACCTTACTGATTACTACCCTGTAGACGAGTTTCTTCATAATATCCAGGTGGGTAACAGTCCAACTACTGACGCACCCAAAAAACGTATGATGAAGGTGAATTTCGACTACTACTTGCTGTATGGCCCCCCTTGAAACTAATTTATATTTATTAAAATGTCTACTTTCACGCTCAGTAAACGAACACATGGATTCCGAAAACCTAGTCATGGTCACTGCATGATTGTCATTCATCTAACAACCACTCCAGAAGAACACATGATTTGGAGACCCCTCCTGAGCACCCTATATGGCGGTACTGTTAGTTATTTGAATATTTTCACCCTTGTCATAGATGTTATGCTTCTAATCCTAACCGAT